ACCTGTACCACTGCTGATAGTACACTGTACCACCACTGATAATACACATGTACCACCACTGATAGCACACCTGTACCACTGCTGATAGTACACCTGTACCACTGCTGATAGTACACATGTACCACCACTGATAGCACACCTGTACCACTGCTGATAGTACACCTGTACCACCACTGATATCACACCTCTGATTGATCCATCAGAGAAACAAGGTGGAACAAAGGAACCATCCTGAAGGCCTCGGTGGATTATATCCGCAAACTGCAGAAAGAACAACAGAGAGCCAGAGACATGGAGGACAGACAGAGGAGACTGGAGAACACCAACCGCTCACTGCTACTACGTATACAGGTGAGGGGGAGGGGCCTTATGTCTCATAGAGAGGAGGGCTTTCTGTCAATTGAAGCAGGGGCGCTTGATACATGAGGGGGAGGAACCTGACACAAATGAGATTTGATAAATTGGGGGAGGGGCTTGACACATAAGGGATTTGATGAATGTGGGGGAGGAGCCTGACAGGTGAGTGGGAGGAGTCTTTATTGATGATTGGGGCTTTTTTGCAGTTGAAGGTAATATCTTTTCTGTGGCAGGAGTTGGAGATCCAGGCTCGCCTGAGTGGTGTCTCGTCTTCCTCCTCGTCGCCACACACGTCCTCCCTCTCTCCGTCTCCATCTGTGGATCCACACACTCTGCTGTCTCACCCCTCTCTGAGCTTCATGGAGCTGGACGAGCCCCAGGCGGCCTCCATCGTCTTCTCCCCGGACCTGATGTCTGACATGGGGTTGACGGAATTGGACGGCCTGGGGGTGCTCCTGACAGAGGAGGAGTCTGGGAGGGTGACGGTGTCCGACCCGCTGCTATCCTGTGGAGCCTCAAAGACCAGCAGCCGGAGGAGCAGTTTTAGTATGGATGAAGACGTATGAGGACCTCACTGTACTCTGGGCTCTGATTGGCTGAAGCAGTGGGCGGGATCAGCAAGGACACTTTAAAAAAACTTCCAGAATCGTTTTAATATGGAACAGACTGTGTAACTATGGTAACCACTGTCTATCTCCTCACAGAGTTTCCATGGTAACCGTACGCCCAGTGGTTACCGTGGTAATCACCTGTCCAGCAGGGGCTCACCTATTCCAGGTGTGTCTCTGTGCTGAGTTTTATAGTCCCTGTGCTGGAAACCTTTCCTGAGAACTGGTCGTACCCGGTTCAGGATTTGATACAGTTCTGTTTCTGAATCATCATTTTATTTGCAAACAGAGTTTATTTAGTCTTTCCTGTTGTTGTTTGTTTGAACGTCTTCCGCCTCTGAGGTTTTGTCAGCGTTTTGTTTTTCAGGGAGAACACATCAGAAACGGAACAATCAGGAAAATAAAAACTTGTGTGGCCCCCGAGTCCATCCGGTCCTCAAACCAGAACCAAACCACAAAATGATGAAAACTGGGTTTTTAATCGAATAAATAACCTTTAGTCCCGTTTCTAAACGGGAGTCCTGTATTTGATTTTTACTGCTTCAGTTGGAAACTGGTTTGTTTTTAACAAAAGAAGGTTTAAACGTTGTAACGTTTGAAAGATCTGTTTGACCTGAGAAGAACTTTGAACATATGAAAATGTGCCTTTAAATGTTGCTTTTTTTTTTTTCAACAAGTAGAATAAATGAACTGTTACTGTCACAGTGGGTTTAAATTATATTTTGTCTTCCAACAATTCTGCATGAAATAATGTTTTTTTTTTATCTTTGAGCAAATGTCTGTGTGAGTGCAGCTACAGCGTGCGCTCTCAGGACATCATTACCTGCAGTGTTCCCTCAGTGAGGACTGAACTAGACAAAAGGACCTTCTCGGTCTGTGTACATTCAGGCAGTTCGTTTTTTCGTTTGAAACAAAAAATGAAAAAACAAAAACGCACTTGTTTTTTTGTTTTCCGTTTATTAAACTAAAATTAAAAATCGGATAATGAAGTGTCATCTGATTTTTAATTTTATGCACAAAACGAAAATGGAAAAAAACGGACAATGAGCGCTCACTTTGGATTATCATGATTTCATTTTGACAAGTGGTCTGACTCTGAAGTTCTCTCTGCCCCGCATTGTGTAGCTTGCTGCATGTGTACACATGTTCAGACACACCCATAGACTTCTTGCAAGAATGGAAGTGGAAGTCACGTGGGTCATGCAGCGGCTCGGGTTCCAAACAGCAGCAGTTCAGCGTTGAACGTAGTTCATTCTCGGTGTTTCGGAAGTGTTTTCTCCGGTAAGTTGATGAAAATGCAACACTTTTTTGCCATTGTGAAGCGTTATCTGACTGTTCTGTCCCACAATTTATCAACATTAATACTTCATGTCGCCAGTTTTAGTTAATGAAAC